GATTATATGTTAATATATTTTTGTTAATCAGTCTAAAGAAAATGTAAACACATTAAAATTAATTTCTCCTGTTTTTTTACATTTTAAATGTAGCTTTTAGAAATTAAACATGTGGCTCACATTTGTGGCTCACATTAAATTTTTTTTTTCAAATAAAAATACCTCTAGTTTTCTGTGATTTAGTGAAAGTAAAGTGAACATACAACTAAGTGGCAGGGTAACAGTGCCTGGAATGCAGTTGGCTCACAATACATGGTTTTATTTTTCCATTATGTTTATATTATTATTTTAATTCTGTATTGTTTAAAGTATTACATATGTCTTCTTTTCCTCCCATTGACCTCTCCCCGGCCACTCCCACCCCCAGCACATGCCTTCACCCCAGCACATGCCTTCACCCCATATTGTCTGTGTCCATTGGTAATGCTTATACTAGTATGCATGCATACAAGTCCTTTGGTTAATCTCTTCCCCCACAACATACACACACCCTTCTCTGCCTTCCCTCTGAGGTTTGACAGTCTGTTCAATGCTTCTCTGTCTCTGGATCTATTTTTGTTCATCAGTGTATGTTGTTGATTGTATTCCACAAATGAGTGAGATCATGTGGTATTTATCTTTCTCTGACTGGCTTATTTTGCTTAGTATAATGTTCTCCGTGTCCATCCGTGCTGTTGTAAATGGTAAAAGTTCCTTCTTTTTTACAGCAGCGTAGTATTCCATTGTGCAGATGTACCACAGTTTTTTAATCCACTCATCTGCTGATGGACACTTAGGCTGTTTCCAAATCTTAGCTATTGTAAATTGTGCTGCTATGAACATAGGGGTGCATATATCCTTTCTGATATGTGTTTCTAGTTTCTTGGGATATATTCCTAGAAGTGGGATTACTGGGTCAAATGGGAGTTCCATTTTGAATTTTTTGAGGAAACTCCATACTGTTTTCCACAGTGGCTGCACCAGCGTGCATTTCCACAAGGGTTCCCTTTTCTCCACATCCTTGCCAGCACTTGTCGTTTGTTGATTTGTTGATGATAGCCATTCTGACAGGTGTCGTACAGTATCTCATTGTTGTTTTGATTTGCACCTCTTGGATGATTAGTGACTTTGAGCATGTTTTCATATGTCTCTTGGCCTTTTTATGAAATCGGGTATTTTTAAGTCTTCTATCTTTTTTCTTTTGCTAACTTGTCATGGGAGTGGCAGCTCCGAGGACCTCTGATCACATTTGGGGTCCTTAAAAATCCAAGAAGTTCAACAGGCTTCTCCTTAATTCCATTCTGCCTTGTGTGTTCCCTTTAGTTTAAACTGTCAGTGTCTGTACCGGTGTAATTCCATCTCTATTCCTGGATTCTGCTGAGATGGCTGCTTTAACCCACGTATCACACCCATGATCTCTTTATCAAATGGTTGTTCAGCCATAACCTTACTGTTCCTTCAGAACAAGCTTTTTCATTTTTTGCAATATGGATAAGCTAAGATTTTTCCAATTAAAGTTCTTTTTCCTTTTTGCTGAAATTTCTTTGTTAATTCATTTCTCTCTTTTTGCATTTTACCCAAAGCACTTAGGAGGAACCATGCTGTTCCTTCAAAACTTGGCTTAGAAATCTCCTCAGCTAAAATCCATTTTCATCACCTCCAAGCAGTACTTTCTACAAAACACTAGAACACAAGTCAGCCAAGTTCTTTGTCACTTCATAATGTTTTCAATAATATATTCCTCCTTTTCCTCCCGTTTTCAATAATATGTTCCTCATTTCCATCTGAGACTTCACCAGAATTGCCCTTAACTTCTCTAACTTCTAGCTTGCATATCAAAACTCTTCCAGCCTTTGGAATTATCCAATTCCAAAACCACTTTCATATTTTTAGGTATTTGTTACAGCAGTAGCCATTTTTTTAGTACTAGAATCCCTCTTGGTCATCTTGGGCTGCCATAGCAAAATACCATAGACTGGGTCACTTAAACACAGATTTGTTTTCTCACAGTTCTAGGGGTTGGGATTAGCTAGTGGGGTCTCTCTAAAGGTATTTTCTCTTAATTTTGTCAGTTTCCCCAGGGAGGAATCTTCTAATCTCCCAATCTCCTGCCTGCCCTGCTTAAGGAGAGCTTCTGGCCTTCTGAGAGTTTAGCAGTGGGAGTCAGCTGAGTCTGTGTGTATGGTAAGGGGAAGCTGCCTTGCCCTTCTGCCTGAGGATTTTAGTGTCCCTTGTCTTACATATGATGTCTCACCCCTGCCCTCTGTCGTGCTCCTGCTTCCAGAGTTTGTCCGACTTGACCTCTCCATTTCTCTTGCACAGTCGGGGAGGAGGAGTATCCTGGCTCTGTGGGGAAATGGAGGGTCCCGGGGTCTTATTGTTTCTTTTAAAGACTTTCAATAAATTTTCCTGTTTACACACAAGAGTGTTACTCCTTGCTTGCTGCAATTACTGGTTTGCTTTTCAGGTATCCCAGTTGTTGCGGTTTGTTAAAGCCAAGTAGTAGAAACTGGATTGTTTCATATTTTTCTCTATTATTTTCTAAATGTTTATGTATCTCAGAGAAAATAATTTGAGATGCAAAGGATATATTATAAACAATGTTTATTGTATTATTCTTGGACTGCAGACAACCTAAAGGTTCAACAGTAGGAAATGATCAATTGAATGTTATTTAAGCTATTTAATATAATATGCAGCCATTGAAAATCTTACTTCAACAAAAAGGTGGAAATGCTCACAATATCATAATTATAGAATTCAAATACTATATGTTCTAATAGGCAAATAGTTAATATACATTTTAAAAAATATATGTAAAAGACTGGAGGGAAATACTCAAATATGTTCAGAGTTATTATTTCTGGTTAGTTGGTTAATAGGTTATCGTTTTCTTTTTTATATGTTTTTATATCACATAATCTCACTCCTATGTGGAAGCTAATTAACAAAATAAACTGATGAATGGAGTGGATCCAGAGACATGGAAGCACAGAACAGAGCACGGAATCTCGGAGAGAAGGCCAGGGAGGGTGCGTGGGTGGAAGGTGATCAGCCAAAGAACTTGTATACATATATGCATAACACATGGGCACAGACAATAGGGTAGTGAAAGCCTGGGGTGGGGGCTGGCTGGAGGGAGTCAATGGGGCAAAAAGGAGGATATATGTAATACTTTCAACAATAAAGATTAAAAAAAGAAAAAGGAACCTAGTGACTCCTACATCTTAATAGGCTTCATAATCTCATTTCTAAACTTACTGGAGAATATGTTAATGTCGCTTGAAGCAAAGAATCATTGATCAGTTCAACAATTCTTTCACTTTTACTTCATTTTTGTTTTATAAATTAAAGTACAAAATTATTGATAGCATTTTATCATATACTGCTTTTATGGAAGTATTTGTCTAACATATGTATGTATGTATACACATAAGTATATGCTGTGAATGTCATTAATGATTATTGTGGGAGAGGTTGGCTTTTTTTACTTTATTCTTTTGTCGTAGTTATTATTGTGTCCCTGGGATGAAAAAAATTGTTAACCCAAATATTTATATTAGTAACTGGTATTGACAGTCAAAATGTGTGGTCCTGAGTATTGGTTAAGACAGTTATTTGACTGAATTTATATAATCGAACATTACTTGAGTGCTTAATATGTGGCATGCACCATTCTCTGTATTTTACATTTTTAATTCATTTTTTCCTTACAACAATGCATTGAAGTAAATACTTTTTTTCCTATTCTTCAGATAATAAATGGAGACATAGAGAAGTCCAGTAGGTGTTCAGCATAACCATTGACACAAAGCTACTAGTGCAAATAGTAAAGTCAAGATTTGGGCCCAAACAATCTTGTTGCAGAGTTCAAATTCATAACCACTATGCCATATTGTACTGTACATCTTAGAAATATTTACTTCCATCAGAAAACGAAGTTACTTTATATTTTGTAAAATACTAATACTACTCTAGGAACAAGGGATTCAGAGCTTACATAATATAACTAGTTTCTAATGCTGTCATAAATTAAAATGTGAATCTAATTGGAGGTCTTTTAGGAATTGACTACCATATATGATGCTTAATGCATTGTCCAGCTGATTAGTTGACTTGATTCTAAGTATAAATACATCTGACCTTGAAAAGTAAAGGTTGAAATTTAGACCATTAGCACAAGATCATGTTTACTAAGCCAGCCTAACAGTATCTTTACGATTCTGGCTAAGAAAAGATACAATTATTGCATGGGCTTTCTTTCTCCAAGAAACTTATGTTCTTTTTTCTTTGCATTATTTCTATAGTACCTTTTCGCTCACCAAAAAAATTGTTGTTGTTGTTGTTGTGTGTGTGTGTGTTTCTTAAAAAAATTGTTTTCATTATGTTTTCTGTAGTCACTCAGTAGGTCAGCTACCCAAAAACCAGGTAAAATTGGAATCCATCGTCTCTTCATTTAAGCACAGATTTTTAAACTCTCCTTTTATTTTTTAAAGAAGAAGCATAAGCTTGCAGGTGCAAAACTAATATTTGAAATGGGCAAAATAAATGTCTTTATTCTTATTTTTTCACCCATTATTTCGGTGAATGAGTTTTTGGATTCTAGAATTACAAACCAGTAAACAGATTGTGCACAAGCTTTATTTTTACCTTATGGCAAATATAACAATAATTACATGTAATACATAAGTGCTAATTTGAGACTTTGCTTTAAGTGTATAAGTTTAAAATATGACCACAGCCTTTTGTTGCAACAGCAGTTGATTTTGGTTAGTATAAAAATTGGAATATTTTCTTTAAATTCCAGTTCATTACTAAAAATTTAAACTGCACATTTTATATTATATTTATCCCTTTTCTCTGTTTTAGATTTATATTTGTTATGACTTTATGCTTGAACCAATTTTAAGACATCAAGTTTTAATACATTAGAAAATTCTAATATTGCTAATATTATTTAAGAAAATTGTCAATTTTTTTTTGCCACACATACTCAATAATGTGTTATTCTGTTTTCTTAGGGACTTCCTGCACCATTACTTGATGATAATTGTAAAAAAGAACTTCGTGAAGATGTACATAATGATGAAACATCAGAATTTAACAGTAAGATGAAAATAGCTTGGCGTTATCAGCTGTTACCTAAGATGGAGGCAAGTCAGCATACAAACTATGCATTTCTAAAATTTGCAAATGAATTTGTTTTCATTTTATGGGATCTCTTGTCGTACAACTGTTAAAGTGCAATACAATGTATATTAGTTTATTTAAATAACTAGATATTTCATTTATAGCATATTTGATCAAGATGACATATTTCTTAATAATAAAATTATAGCAAATTGGGTTTCTTTTTAAGCCAAAATAGATTATTTCATTTTTTCCATAGTCTCCATATGGAATCTTTTATTCTAGGGCTGCAAGCCAGAGTAAGTGAACTAGCAAAGGCATTTACTATATTTTTTTTAATTTTTATTGAATTTACTGGGGTGACATTGGTTAATAAAATCATATTGGTTTCAGGTATACATTTCTGTAATTCATCATCAGTATATTTGTGTTCACCACCCAAAGTCAGCCTGCGGACTGGTTTGGTCCCAGGTTTGATTCCAGTCAAGGGCACATGCCTGGGTTACGGGCTCGGTCTGATGTGCAGGAGGTAGTCAATCAGTGATTCCCTCTCATCATTGATGTTTCTATCTCTCCCTTCCTATCTGAAGTCAATAAAATACATGTATATTTTTAAAATGTGCCCTTCATGCAATGGTCTTCACTAGATGACTTTTTCTCCCATTTTCTTCCAGTCTCCCCAAATATCATTTGATCAGGAATGCCTTCCTTTGTCATTCCATGTAAAATAAAAGCGCTCTCTCTCTTTCTCTCTCTCTCTTTCTCTCTCTCTCTCTCTCGTCTTCTTTCACTGCCAAATGTTTCTTCAGGGCATCTATAATAATAAAAGCATAATATGCTAATTAGACCGGACAGCGGAACGAGCTTCCGACGTCATTCCGGAAGTCCTTCTGAATGAAGCTGCAGCGGTGGGGGCCGAGGCAGAGGCAGTTAGGGGCAATCAGGCAAGCAGGCAAGTGCTTAGGGGCAATCAGGCAGGCATGCAGAGTGGTTAGGGGCGATCAGGCAGGCAGGCGAGTGGTGAGGGGGGACCAGGCAAGCAGGCAGAGTGGTTAGGTGCAATCAGGCAGGCAGGTGAGTGGTTAGGGGCAATAAGGTAGGCAGGCAGATTACGAGAGGGTGCAAGCCTGGCTGAGCACCCCCCACCTCCCATGCACGAATTTCATGCACCAGGCCTCTAGTTTATAATAAATACAGCATCTGTCTCCACTACCAGAATGTGAGCTCATTGAGAAAAAGGAACTTTGATTATTTTGTCCTACTGGCATACAGTGGGTGCTCAATAGTTATTGGTTGAATACATGAGTGAATTAGTTATATAAATTAAATGGGGAAACTTCATTAAGTTGCATTAATTAATACAAATAAAACAACAACAGCTTATTTTGAATTTATAGTCAGTGGTGAAACTTAAGTTTATATTTACAACTTAAGTTCTGTCAAGTTTAGAATATAGAAATCATCTTCTGGCTTCTTTGCTTTTCTTTGAAATGTTACTAGCATGTATATTTGCTTGTCACAGAAATTTTGTATGTGGTGATTTGCCACGACTGATAATTAGTAATCACTCATCATCATCTATATATATAAAAGCCTAATATGCAAAGTGTCCCCTCGGGAGTTCGACTGACCAGGAGTTCGATTGCTTGCTATGACGTGCGGTGACCACCAGGGGGTGGCACGGAATGAAAGAATGCCCCGGTGGCAGCAGGCAGCCGGGGAAGGGAGACCCTGGCCTACATCTGGCAGCCGCTAGGGACCTTACCCATGCACAAATTTCATGCACTGGGCCTCTAGTCTACTATATAAATCCAGACCTTACTGTGACATTTTCTGTTTAAAAACAATAACAACAAAACCCAGGGTTTTCTGGATTTTGCTTGGGCAAAATATAGTTAACACTATTATGAGTAAAAGATTAAATAAGTAGTCCAAAACTAGCTGTGTCAATTATCAGATATGCTTTTTACTATAAATTGTTGTGAAGTATTAAGAGTGTAGTCATGCCCTAACCGGTTTGGCTCAGTGGATAGAGCATTGGCCTGCAGACTCAAGGGTCCCAGGTTCAATTCCTGTCAAGGGCATGTACCTTGGTTGAGGGCACATACCAAGTGGGGAGTGTGCAGGAGGCAGCTGATTGATGTTTCTCTCTCATCGATGTTTCTAACTCTCTATCTCTCTCCATTGCTCTCTGTAAAAAAATCAATAAAATATATTTTAAAAAAAGAGTATAGTCATATTCTCATTTAGGGAATACTAAAAAGGACAAGAATATGCACAGCTAAATAACAATAGTTCAGTAAAGCATTAAGCAAGCACTTTCATGTAGAGGGTTGTGTAGTTTTAAAAAGTCCTGCTTCTACCCTAGCTGGTTTGGCTCAGTGGATAGAGCATCAGCCTATGGACTGAAGGGTCCCAGATTCTGGTCAAGGGCATGTACTTTGGTTGCAGGCTAGATCCTTGACCGGCAGGGGTCCAGTGTGGGAGGCAACCAGTCTCTCTTCCACCTCTCCTCCCTCCCTTCTACTCTCTCCCTAATGATCAATGGAAAAAATATCCTCAGGTGAGGATTAACACAACAATTAAAAAAATAAATTAAAAAAACCTCTTCCCTTGACCTTTGATTTTGTCTCCTAAATGCATATGTCCTCTTTACTGTCCAATCATCAAGCCCTATTCTCTCCTCACCCCAAGAATAGCTTGCCTACAGCATATTCTGAGACTTAATTTCTTCAGTACTGTAGAACTCTACTGCAAATGCCTACAAATGGCTCCAGCAATTTATGACAGTGTATTAGAGGTTTATTATGTTCAATCTTCATTACACTTTGGTTTTCCATCTTAGTGATTAAGCCCCAGCAGTCCTGTGATAGATGCATGTTGTGGATGACAACACATATACTTTTTTCAATAATGTAATGTAATTTACAAAAGATAGTGACGAGTCTTCTGATCACTAGTGGATCACGACACAATAATAATATTGACATAATGCTTTATAACTTACAGAATATTCATTGCCAGTATTGCATTAGATTCTCATAACAGCCCAGTGAAATAGTTATTAGCTCTAATTCTGGTGCTTGAACGGAGGCTCAAAATGGTTTAGTAACCATTTGGATTCTTGCTTTCTGTTATGCCATGCTGAGAAAGAAGAAATGGTAACATTCTTAAGAAAATGTCTTATTTAGATTGCTTATTTGTGGTGCAGCTTTCTCTGAAAGTTTCGTTTCTGACATACTGGAGGTGGGAAATTGCTCCTCTTGTCTGCCCTCCCCTCTCCCCCATCAGAGTTTATTTTCCTTTAGCACGGTAAATTTTTACTGAATCATTACAATTTATTCTCTTCCACAGTTAATAAGTTAATGTGTAGTTTATGAATGTGCAGTAGTTTTCATAATGTAAACTAAAGCAAGATGTTCTTATTAAATTGAGTAAACCGACTAGTTACTGATGATAGTTTGATTTTTTTAAATGTATCTTTGTGTGCGTAGAGTTGAGAGTTTTTCATGGATATTACTATTAATATTAGATTTAACGCGTTTAGTTATCTTTTTTAGAGGAAATATTCTGAGTCTTTGTTTTATAATTCGAGGCCTCAAAAGAGTTCACAGCATTTCAAAAATTTGATTATATGTTAATGCTAGGTCTCTTGGGTAGAAAAAACTTACAAAATTGTTTTTTTCTTGAAGAGTATATTTATATTTCACTTTCATTTTTTACTGAAGGATTAAAGTTTTCATCAGTAATAAAAATTTTAGTCTCTTCCTTGTGAATATTTTTGTTTTATATCTAATCTTAATTTCTAAAAATATAGTAACAATTATAATAAAAGCTTCTAAATTTATTTTTACATTTTAATGAATTATATATGTTCTATATGTAAACTGTCACAGCATGAAATCAATTTTCTGCCTTGATTCAATCCAAATCTGAGATCTCTATCACATTAATATTATAATTAGAAACATTAATAGAGATCGGCAACTTAAAAAGCATATTTTGCTTCTTGACAATTTAGCATATTTCTCTGAGTTCACAGGACTTCAGGAACCTTCAGGCCACTAATAAATTTATTAACTCAAACTTAAAAGAAGAGAAAAGTCTCTCTTTCTTTCTCTCTCCCCATGGCCAGCCTGCTAAAATAGATTATTCATGCTTATTTGATTCAGGTAGGCTTTTGCAAGCTTCCCTACTAGGCCTGGGAATGTGGTACATTGAGGCCTTTTCAGAGGCTTCTGACATAGACCAAGCTTTTATTGCATGGTGTTTTATTATTACCAAATCCTAGTCTCCACCCAGTTTGTAGGCACTCTGCTTATTCTTTTGAATCTGGAAAGGTTATCACCTACCTTAATCCATGCAGCAGTGTGGATTAAGGACACCAGTGTGCCCCAGGATTCTCAAAGAGGATCCTGGAAACTTCTTGTTTCTTCTTTTTTGCTGTCTTTACTAAATTCTATTGGGCCTTAGAGGGATTTGCATCTGAAATGGGCAACCTGGTGTTTTTATCAATGAAGACATCAGATCAAAGTTCAGTTAGTCAAGGCCTTTCTAAAACATTAAGGGGGCTTGGACTTACACAATAAAAAGATGAGCTCTAGCAGAGATTGCAGTAAAAACATTCTGAACTATAATCCGGATAAAGAATAGATTATAGGCCAAAGAACAGACCTTGTTTAAATTGCTTTAGACTAATAACTTTACATTTTAAAACTTTAAACCCTGTTTTTAAGAAACAAATTTTAACGTCACATAATTTATCAGTACTTTCATGGTAGATACTTCCATGATAAATTTCTTGGGAACCATACTTCAGTACATTGAAAAATTGGATAAGGCCAATTAATAGGTCTCCTTCATTAACGAAAATAAATAGTACCTTATGGAGGGATGACCAATCATTTCATTTAGAAAATAAACACTAAACCCAAAGACTCTGAATCTGAGAATAATGTTCCTATTAGCCTTAAAAAATTTTATTCTGTTACTGTATAATTTAATGTTTGTAAGCATTTAGTTAAGGATATAAATTCTTAAAGTCTTAAAAATGCAAATACCTAGTGTCAAGCAAATGTCTATTTCTAATCTAAATTACAAAGTTGATAATTCCTTAGTAAAATAATTTAAGAACTTACTGTGTATAGCTATTCAACTACCTAGTTTGTTGAATGTTCTGAAACTTGTCTGTTTTGTAGCATTCAGGACAGTTGAAATTATGTAAATTTAGATCAGAGATTTCATTAGAAACTATTGCCATATGAAACTGTTAATAGTTCAACTTTGGATAGAGTTGTATATATTTCTAATGTGCTGAGTGAAAGAAATCAGCCCAGAGTTCATTCAAAGCAATATAAGAATAAATTCATAATACTAGGAATTTACTCTCCTATGTAAATAAATTCAACATCAGTAGAGTTTCTTAAGAAGAAAATGATTTTTTGGAGAAATTGTTAGTAGAGGCCACAAAAGAGGAATTGTCAGTTAACTAATGATTAAGGCAGATTTCTGATTTACTTTAGCTTATATATACTTTCTGAGCTTTTTTCCCATCGGGAGCACCCTAGTACATTTTTTACTATATGCTTAACATTAAACTTGTAAGTAAAGTTGAATATATATACACATTGTCTTGTGATAATTTACTTTTAAAATGATGCTCAATTTAATGTACTTAAATAGCTTTTGGACCCCTCAACATGAATTAATTTGGCTTACGTTCTCATCAATTCTTAGCCACTACATATTTGTCATTAAAACCTGGAATTTAAACAAAAATGATTGAGACTTATGTGTATTAAATTTTTTTAATTTAGGAAATTATAATGAAGAATAAAAAAGCTAAGGAGGTTTTAAATTTGTGTCAATCTTAGGGAACCTCCAGGAGTAAAGAAACATGGGAGATGAAAGATTGCTTTCTAACTATATAGTTTTAAAAAATAAAGTTTGTTGTATTTGTTTCTTTGAAATTTAATGCCTATGTATACCAGCTTTTTCTTGTTAACATTAAAATGCATAAATATATCAGCATTTTGCTGAGTGTAAGACAAAATAAATAGTAATTTCTGAAACTTTATCAATAAATATGAATTTTCTTAATAGGCTGGACCAGTATCATCTTCAAAATTTGGTCACTATTATGATGCATCAAAAAAAATACCACGAGAATTAATAGAGGCTTCAAAATGGCATGGATTTTTTCTTCCAGAAAAAATATCTTCAACTCTTAATGAAGAACCCTGGTAAGTTAATGACCCAATTTTTATTTCAAAGGTTAATAGAATGCATATTTGCCACATTCTTTGAAAGAATGAATGTCAAAAGTACATATCCTAATAATAAACATTAGTTTCTATATAATATGTAACCTTAATTGTGCATATGTTTCATATTATTTGGTACAGTTTTCTTCTTTTCCCAGTCTTGTAACTGTTGGACATGCTTTTACTCTTAATTGCAACTTAAAAAGTCTGGCCACCAAATTTATAATACCTGCTGTTTTTACTTTCAAGAAAATGTAAAATAGTTCTAAATCAGGCTATTTCAGTGTTAAATGCAAACAGTGCTCTTTCAGAAAGTAAATAAGTACTGGTTTTCCAATATTTTATTTATTATGGTTTTCTATTTCTAGTAATGCTGTAAATAAAACACTCTTATGTATTTTAGATGACTTAAAGAACTTAGGATTTGAGTTTTACAGTGAAGAGTTTTAAATATTAAACCAATACATGCTTATGTTATAATGCTACTAACTTTAAGACAAAACCCTGAACATTACAATACTTGACAATGAATAATTTATAAAGGATAAGAATATTTAATTTTATTCCTATTGCAGTTGGATCAAGAAAGGGTAATTAATGGAATCTGTTGTCATACTGTTAAACCATTATTTTCAAAGTGAGATGAGTTATCAAATGGAGATTTAATAGACAGGAAGTTATGAACTGAAATGACTTAAAAATTATAGTCTCCTTTCCAGAAATATTATGTAAGAATTTAGTGAAGATTATCATATTTATTTTTATTAAATCTGTTTCAAAAAGAAGTTCTTCACTTCGTTATGGTGTTCCCTATCTAGTCTGTGGCCACAGACTTACCCAAAGTGGTGCTTAATGTTAATAGCTGCTGTTAATGAATGACTGCTCTGTGTCAGTCACTGTACTGTGTGCTGTACCTTTGTTATCTAACCTGTGAAAGTAAATATGTCCATTTCCAGAACAAGATACCGAATTCACAGAAAAGACTTATCTGAGGCTCAACTACGAAGTGCTAGAGCCAGGATTAACCTAAGTCAAAAGATCTCTTTTCCTTTTTACTTTACTACTTCAAAAAACTTCTGTGTCTACTTCACTTTACCTCTTGTGTTACAAAGGAAAGAGTGCTAATAGAGAACTTTTTAAAAATCTGGATCTTGTTCTACTGTTAACCTTGGACAAATTCCTTAGACTCAGTGAAAATAAATATCTTTCTATGAAAATTGAGGTGGGGGGAATACCACTTGTCCTACCTGCATCACTAATTTTTTTTATTAAGTTTGAATGGTTATATTGATTTTACTGGTGCCTAATTTTTGCCATTCACTGAACCAGATAAAAATACCAGCTGTACCAGTTAATAATGCAGATTTTTTTCAATAGATGGAGTTACACATATGTTGATATATGCGATTTTATATGTATGCTATTTTGTTGTATTGACAACAAGCTTCAAAACTTCATATGTCAAATTTTCTGAAGGTGTTAACATCATAGGTATTTTTATGCTTAAAAATGTCAAATTTCGTGCCAAAAAAAAGCATTTGTGGAAAGTTTTAATTCATTACTTTACTTTGAAGAAAAGTGCTGCTGAAAGTTATCATCTACTTCGGGAAGCTTATGGTGAACATGCTCCATCTCAAGATACTTGTGAACGCTGGTTTAAACACTTTAAAAGTGATGATTTCGATGTGAAACACAGAGAACGTCCAAGTCAACCGAAAAAGTGTGAAGACCAACAATTACAAGCATTATTGGATGAAGATGCGTGTCAAACTCAAAAACAACTTGCAGAAAAATGAAACATTGCTCAGCAAACAATTTCCGATCGTTTATAAGCAATGGGAAAGATTTTAAAGGAAGGAAAATGGGTGCCACATCAACTGAACGAAAGACAAATGGCAAACCGAAAAGTCATCAGTAAAATGTTGCTTCAACGGCATGAAAGAAAGTCTTTTTTGCATCGAATTGTGACTGACAATGAAAAGTGGATTTATTTTGAGAATCCCAAATGCACAAAATCATGGTTTGTCCCAGGTCAACCATCAACATCGACAGCAAGGCCAAATCGCTTCAGAAAGAAGACAATGATCGTTTGGTGGGATCAGGAAGGTGTGGTGTATTATGAGCTTCTAAAACCAGGTTTAACTGTTAATACTGATCGCTACCAACAACAAATAATCAATTTGAACCACACTTTGATCCTAAACAACCAGAACGGGCCAGAAGACACGGCAAAGTAATTTTGCTTCGTGATAACGCACCATCACACACTTCAAAACCAGTTAAAGATACGTTAAAAGATCTTTCCTGGGCAGTATTAACCTACCAGCCGTATTCACCAGACCTTGCTCCTTCAGATTACCACTTGTTCTGATCGATGGCACACGCACTTTCTGCGCAGCACTTCAAAATGTATGAAGAAGTGGAAAATTGGGTCTCTGAATGGTTTGCCTCAAAACAAGAAAAGTTCTATTGGGACAGTATCCACAAATTACCTGAAAGATGGGGGAAATGTGTAACTAGCGATGGACATTACTTTGAATAAAGCACTTTTGATGTTTCTCTTGAAATTATCATGTTTTCTTTGATTATAAAATCTGCATTTTAACCGGTACACTGGTATATACATGCTTAGGAAATAGGTCAAAATAACTTTTCCATGATTTCATAAATAGAAAATGGTTGAATCCGGACTTAAAGTCAGTTCTTTCTGACTCAGAAATCTTTGTTAGCAATAATGCTATACTGCCTCCATTCACAGAGTGCTTAGGGAAATGAAAAGTATAAAATGTACACTAAGTATGATGTAAGTACATAAAAAATAATATGGTGATACTTTGTAATTTAAAAATACATATGATAAAACTTACTTTAAGCTAGAAAATACAAGGGTTTTACTCATTCATTCAACAACTAAAGAGGAGGAATTAACATTTGTCAAAAACCTGCTTCGTGTCAGGCATTGTACCAGGCATTTGATAATAGGATATCTAATTCTCTCAACAACCCCCAGGTAATATCCAAATTTCATAGGAAATTTGAGGTTAGAGACACTAAGTAGCTTTCCCATGACTCTCTGTAAATGACTGAGCTGGCACCCAAATTCAGGTCTCCCAAACCTCTGCTCTTTTCTGCATAGACTGCATCTGTTTACTGGGTGCCTGAAAAACAACACCTAGGTCGGCTGTGAGAGTAGTCTCCTGTAGTCTTTAAAATATAATTTTCGGACTATTTTTGAGAACTAGCAGTTTTGCGTACAAAATAGGAAAATTTATAGATTTTAATTATCAAGGCAGTATTTCATTTCAGAGTAGTTAACTGATAATTCGTTTATTTCATATTAAACTTAAATGCTTAATTAAATGTAATTAAACTTTAAACATGTAATTAAATTAATTTTGAAAATGGGTACTTTACCATGTGAGATTTATTTTAATTTATGAAAAGCGTGTGCTCATTTCACTAAAATGAACTTTACTGGTTCATTTATAAAACAATAAAGCTTAGCATTACAGTTGTCTATACTTTTCCTATAATTACAACTAGAGGATATAGTTATATCCTACTGTCATGTGTGAAGATATAACATGTAATTTCATAATATCTAAAGGGACTGTTGAAACATGTAGAGTTGTTTTACAGTAAGAAAAGCTAAAGGTCATTTAAAATTTCCATTAACTAATTTAAAGATATTGGTAGTTTTTTTCTGTAGAAAATGTTCATACATAAAATTTAAACTTTCACATTAAAGCCTGGGTATAAAAGCCTGAGATGTATCACAATAATATGATCCAGGTGATTTTTTGTTTTTCTATTTTACTGTCATAAATCAGATATTCTGAATCACAAAACAATGATTGGAAAATGAATTTTGAGAATAATTCTGTGGTCTAAGTTTTTTTAAAATCTGACATTATTTTGAATTAAGCTTTACTAACAGGTATACCCAAACACACTTCTGTTCATTATAAGAAAGATTGCCTGTTGTTCAGCATATGGATGCTGTCTCAACTTTCTTATATATTAATGAATCTAGCAACATACTGCTTAACCTACTGTTTCAGACTGAATGTTTGTAAGCCCCAAATTCCTATGTGGAAGCCCTAATCCTCAATGTAGATAATTATAACCATATGGGGTCATGAGGGTGGACCCCTGGTCTGATAGGATTGGGTTCCTTAAGCAAGATCCAGAGACTGAGCTCCCACGCTCTTTTTGGGTGAGCATCCAGAAAAAGCCATGTGACCACAGTGAGAAGGTGGCCATCTGCAACCCAAGGGGAAAGCTCTCACCAGACACCAATCCTGCAGGCACCTTGATCTTGGACTTCTAGTCTACAGAATTGCATCAGAATGAATTCCTGTTATGTAAGCCACCCAGTCTGTAGTATTTTGTTATGGAAGCCCACGCTGACTAATACACCTTCTATATTGTAAATGTTACTTTTTTTATTATAGATATGTCAGATCTTGAATATTGAGTTCATATACTATTGGTAGTAATAGAATAAATTTGTTCTTATATGTTTCTTTGAAATTCAAGATTTTATTTTGATATATATGTCTTAATAATAACTAATAATTTTTTGTATTAGCTAAAACAGTGGTTCTCAACCTGTGAGTCGCGACCCCTTTGGGGGTCGAACGACCCTTTCACAGGGGTCGCCTAAGACCATCGGAAAACACATATATAATTACATATTGTTTTGTGATTAATCACTATGGTTTAATTATGTTCAATTTGTAACAATGAAAATACATCTTGCATATCAGATATTTACATTACGATTCATAACAGTAGCAAAATTACAGTTATGAAGTAGCAACGAAAATAATTTTATGGTTGGGGCTCACCACAACATGAGGAACTGTATTAAAGGGTCGTGGCATTAGGAAGGTTGAGAACCACTGAACTAAAAGATTTGTATTGATTAAGTTGGATTAACTGAATTCTGAGACTACCAGTTATCTTTACAGGAGAAA